GGAAAACTTGGCGATACTGAAAGAGGAAATTGCAACAGAAGTCGCCCACTCGAGCAACGCGGTAATCTGAATTGCAGGGAATTAGATAAAGTTTTCCTCGTAATACGAACAGTTGCCAATTGCTAATTCCATTTTTTAAATACAACACAAAGCTCTTCTCAATTTCGATCAAATTTCGCACACAGTGTTCAGGTAAACGAAATCGCCCTCCGAGGTTCAGAGCTGAAGGACTGTTGATTGGAGTAACTCGAGAACGAATTCAGACTCGAATCTACGAATCTACGACGCGAATGAAGAATTTGGGCGAAATCGTATTTTTCGAAATTTTCGAAATCAGAGAATATCGCGGTACGGTGACTGATATATAGAAGCGTAGGTTTTATTCTTCCCGCGTCTTCCATTATTCGTGAAATTTCTTGTCCCCGTGGACACAGATTACCGCACTACGGGCAAACAGTGCGCGTGTTTTTGAAATTCGTGCAATCACTCCATGATCGATTTAACGCGGATTTCATCTTTATTCACTTACCCCACTGTCGCTTTGGCGCCCGTGCTTTTCAGTTTTATTTGGTTCAGTTGCTGGCTCACCAGCCCCGTCAGGTTCACGGAGACTGATTTTTCTTGGTTGAAGTTCATCAAGAGCGTCACCGCCTCCTGGTTCTGTTCGCGAATCACAGCTAGAACGTCGTTGTTTAAAACGGCAGTCGTAACTGTGCCGTTTGTCAGCACGTTGCCTTTCCTCAGTTTGATCAGTTCGGTGTACAAATTATAATGGGAGCCCTGAGTATTCTTCTGTTGCTCCAGATTCAGCGACTTGTAGTTGCTATGGACTGGCAACCACGTTTCCTTGGCTTTACTGAAACCTACGAAAATAAACAGCCAGTTTAAGGATCGAGTTTACTCATTTGGAATCGCAAGTACTCACGCAGCTCTTTGGAGTAAACACGGACTAGCAGGCTAATTTCACGACAATACGCTGGTACATTTTAAATGCCGCGTGTCTTATCGGTATTATTGATTCGTTAGGGACGATACAGGTTACCCTATTCGGAATTAACCCTTTGAGGACGATAGACTCATATGCATACGAGCCTTTCCACGCGAAATCGATCACTTTCTGGCAGCATGTCCTCCGATTTTGATGAAACTGTAATACGCTCTATTCCACGTGAATTAATGTTGAGTTTATGTCATCGTTTCGCCGGCTTCGAAGTTACTAACAAATTATAGCATGTTGAAAGTCGCGAACAGAGTGCGTGCGATAAAAATGAAAATATACTTAGAAAGCAGCATGGTTTGCGTTGCAAGTCGAAACAAATCTTTTTTTCTCTGTAGATGTAACTGTTTACGGGATGAAAATTCGTTTGTACAGTCACGTTTGGGTGAAAACCCGCTTTTTCGCGATTTTGCCAACGTGCTGCGAAAAGTGATCGATTTGACGTGGAACGGCTCATATGCGTTTACAAAACATGAGCACAACCGGCAGACTCACATTTAGTTAGCGTGAACATGAACTCGAAAATGTAATCTTCAGGTGATATAGTGTAACAGAAAAAAATTGAAATAGTGACCTAATTACGTGTTGTACAAGTAGTCGGTATTTCGACATGACACTTAGTCCTCCCCTTCCGCGAAGGGTTAAATCGATTCTAACCTCGACAATCTGCGATTCGAAAGTCTAGGTGTGCTCAGGTGTAAAAGTTAAAAATAAGAAAAATTCGACCTACTTTTTCATCCCGTTTGTCACAATTTTTTGTTTACAACGTCACACAATCCCATACTGCCAGCAGTAAAGCTGAACAGTAGTCACTTTACCGAATCTCGCTCGTTTCTGGTGCAGCGACCGAAGGGAAATCGACCTTGAATTTTTGAATTTTGCACCTGTTTCAGCGGATCCCATTTGCATCGAATTGTGTTACCCCCGAGGGATATGGTGCGGTTAGGGGAATACTCTTGAATTCTGTCTGGATTGATAGATGTGCGTCACGGAGATGCGAGCAGGCCAATAGTCGAGGTTGAGAAAATGAGCGCTGCTGTACAATACGGGTTAGGCCCTTCGTCAGTCATAACCGGCGAAAAGTCGTAAACTCCGTTAGGGTAATAATGTGGAGGGGCGATTTTTTCGCGTGTGCTGGCACCATAAAAGTGAAAACAGGCTGAACCGAGCACTGAACCGAGAATTGCAAGAAAAATTGGGGAAATTGGGGGTCCGAGAAAAGTGCTCGACGAAGTGTACCATTTCAAGAATATTCCAACAAACTTTCTGTGTCTTTGATATCATTGCCGACATATTCTTTCCTCTCGCGAAGAAAAGAAGGGAAGATACGTTGATACATTTTTCAAGTACTCCGTATTACGACAATTATTTACCCTTTTGTTCTCCACCGTCAAACTAAATTTTGATTGCATTAAGGTGACAATGCTTCTGATTAGAACGATACACCTTGCCGTCCAAATGTTTAGGGTTAATATCCCGTACTTATAATCACAGTTACTGGATTGAAACTGTAACAAACCGGGCCGTGAAAGTCTCAGACGGTAGTTTATTTATAACGGAAAATATGACACATTCATCTTCTACTCCAGCGATTTTCAACCTGTTTCATCTCACGGCGCAGATCGACTAATTACTAAAATTCTACGGCACGCGAAAAAATATTGTAGGAACTGACGGAAAAATTTCGGGGGACCCAACGGGAATCGAGAACCCGGGACCTTCGGCTTAACACAAGCCGAGGCTTTGCGCACTACTCCAACTACTCCCTCTATATTCTCCATTGTTGGTTTCCTATTTGGGTATGGAGGCCCCGACACTACAGTGTCATATTTTTTCGCCGATCCGACACAAAAAAGAAAAGGGTACATTTTTCACCGATTTATAAGAAAGAACAATACTTTTTCAACTTGCATTGAAAAATCTTGAACACAGCTGCGCCCAAAATCAGCGTTCTACTCACCTGCGTTGGCAGAACCGTCCCACTGGAAAGGTGTACGGCAGCCATCGCGGAAGTCGAAAACACGAAGAGTGCTGTTGTCCTCCATGCCAATTTCTTCACCGTAGTAGGTCACTGCGACGCCAGGCAGAATCATTTCCAACATGACCATGTGATCCGCTCTGCCCGGATAACGCGTGGCGATACGAACGCGATCGTGGTTTCCCATCTGTGGCGATACAATGTTTTCAACGTGAAAACGGCAACGTGAACACCATTTCAAGAGCAACATTCGAACATTCTGGACGGAATATCTTTGACAGAATTTCATCTTTACGCAGGACAATGAACCTAAACCGCTAAATCACGTGAAAACTGTTCAGAAAACGTACAAACTGGAAATACGTTAAAAATAAGGCAACAGCTTTCATAATCACCGCACATTAACACCACTGGGAAATACTTATGATTGGTTGTAACATCTAACCGCGGAGGATATTTCATTTCGATGCGCTGAAAGCTTGAATTTGCAACTTGTACGTTCCATGAACGTCTTCAATCGTAAACAGTCCCTCTATAGGGGGTATTTTGTTTTAGAAGATCGAGGAAAGAAATGGATTTTTCGTTCGAATCGACGAATGGAATTAACAAGTTTACATACCACCCAATTTGATACGCCATCCTTTGGCGTTCCTTGTATCCACCTGTCTATAATCATCTTGAAATCTTTCGCGTTCGATTTCGCGTCCGCGTCCGTTATGAACTTAAAGTTGAACGGAACGTTCGAGCCGTAGTTGTAGTACTTCAACGTGTTGTCCCATGAGGTGTACGCCTCTGTTAGTAACACCTGTAACGTCGAACAAACGCGATATTTGATGTATTTCATTTTTGAAACTGAAGCATCGCTCTGTGATAAGTGGTGAAGTAAAAGTCGTCGAAGATCGGTTCAATACTTTCTTTTGTTAATTTCATTCTACTTCCGTAGAGGAAGGATTAGAAAGAAGAAAAGTGCAATTTTCGTAGAATAGACCCAAAGTATGTTTTTCACCTTCTCCGTCTGATTACGTTCGTCCGCGTACTTGTCCACAAACTCCCGCCAGCTTTTCATCAGTTCGTATGTCTCAGGTTGATCCTTCGTTATCGTGTGATTTAAAGTAACGTGATCGTATCCCGGCTTAGCGCCTTCTGGAATAGTCGTTGCAGCAGGTTCATCCTTAGTTATATCGCCTTCGAACAAATGTGGCACAGCGTCAATACGAAATCCGTCCATTCCTATGTCCAACCAGTACTTGATTATCTCCTGAAAGGGAAAAATCGTCGCGTGAATCGTCGATAGAAATCCTTCATTCGGGACAATTTTAATCTATCGCTGTTCGCGAAACTGTTTTCACGATCGGTCGTTTTCTTTTGCCCTGTTGTTTCGAGAAATTTAGCATATCGGAACCCGGCATGTACATACTTTCATCTCATTCTGCACGTCCGGGTTCGTGTAATTCAAATCCGGCTGCTGATAGTAGAACTGGTGAAAGTAGAATTGATTTCTTCTCTTGTCAAGCGTCCATCCGGTACCATTGAACACGCTGACCCAGTTGTTCGGCGGTACCATAGTTCCATTTTCATTTTTTTTACCATCAGACCAGATATAATAGTCTGTGTATTTTCCTGTGCGGTTCAAACTCTGTTGGAACCATGTGTGCTGGTCGGAGGTGTGGTTGGGGACAAGATCTAGAATAACCTGGGACATAAAAGGAAAATTGTATCTCGATTGGTCTACGCTACCGAAAATCATCGGAGACACCGAGAGGTGTTGATTTTTCATGCAGTAAATAGCAGTGGAAACGACCTGCATCACTTCGCGATCTGAAGTTTCGAACTGTTGCGGTCTGTTGCAATGGCGTTCGAAGACGCGCAACTGGTGCCGTAAACCTCGAAACTTTCAGCTCGTGTATCCTGGAAGCGAAGCCTCAGATTGTAAAGTGACACGAGCTTTTCCAATTCATTTCGCCACGAGTAATCCATCCTGCATCGACTTCTCCCCTCGTTTCAAGCGAAAGACTATTAACTTGTGAAACGCACGTACAGTCTGTAAAGCTGAGATTTTAACGCGTAATTAAAAGAAAATGTGTGTTCGTTATATTTGGTTAAATTTTTTCTTTTTCTTGACGTTTATTCTGATTTGAAGATAAACAACGAGAAGTTTCATTTTCGTGCAAGTATGCCTTTTCTATTCTCGCAAAGGTAAAAATGCGGTACAAAGAGCAACAAAGATTTCTTATGTGAATGAATAGACACTAAAAAAATTTATCCAAGTATAATGAACTCCTTTTGTTTTAAGAATAACAGAAACAATCTCTTGTGGAAAAATCCGACATTACTTATTAGCCAACTCAGTGATACAAACGATATTCTGGTGCGTCTTTCCTGCTCGTCGCATCGAGAAGAGAGGGTCGGTACAAATTAGAATTTACAAATGACGAGTAACGAATGAAAGATCAACCCTTTCGTATTTTCTCAGATAGTTGTTTTAACGCGAATCAATCGTGTGTCTCCGTAGCTCAATTAAACGTTTTACGTTAAAACACCATCTTACCTTTATACCAAGGGCTTTCGCATCCTTCAAAAGACTCCGCACGTTGTCTAAATTACCAAATATTGGGTCGACGTCTCTGAAGTCCGATATATCGTATCCAAAATCTACCATAGGGCTCTTGTTGATCGGTGACAACCATATCCCTGTTATACCGGTATCTTTGAAGTGTTGAAGTTTGTTCCTAATACCTGTGTCGAGTAAAGAAAGCAGTTTAAAATTATTTCCAAATATTATATATGTAGAAACCGAGGAAAAAATAGGGGAGACCTTCAACTTGAATCGAACCCACGATCGCCCGATTAGTAAGCCGAGACTACGCGCTACGCCAATAACGGTCCTGATCATTTTTTCCTCGTTGATGCTACTTATTGGGGATTCGATATGCCCCGATCCTACATATAATTTACAACAAATCGAACGTTTGTGAAATTATTTCTTATGTAACCGTCGTCGAGTTACTGCCTTGTGATACTTCTTAGACATGTTTTCTCATCCTCTATTAGCACTCGCACGACCACGCTTGGGTCATTTCGGACCCCGCTCTAGACATTGAACGCTTCTTTGATACTTGATACCGTGCGTTCTTCATTTATGTTAGAACGATAACGAGTGTCCAAACGAACCCAGACATCCGAGTGTTCTTTTTTCCCCCCCTCTATTAACGAACACGCTGGAAATATCGCGAAAAATCTAACATTTTTCCTCTCTCTCCGTGTTTTGTTTCGTTACTTTGCTATTCAATAGGATCGACGTAATTACAGACACTGTGGGTAGAATGTAATTCATTAACGTTGCAATTGTTTCTATTTCAGGTAAGTAACGAGCGTAGACGACGAAATCTCCTCGCGTTCGTCGACGTAAGTAGACGAATTTTGCTGCCACTCCCGTCCAAACTTTCTACCGTCAATCTCGCCAAATCTGACTTCAAGTATCGATATTCGGGGATACGTCGATGGGCGAATCGAACAGAAATTTAATAAATTCCCCGTGAAGTTGATAGAAATTCCTGCCAATCGTTGGCTAATTTTATTGCATACATATAAATACCAAATAAAATTCCCGGCTGCTATTCGATTTGTACCTTGTCTTCGGTTGAACGTTTAATTAAACCGGTGTCGTGTCAATTGCAGAAAATTTCGATGCCCAGACTCACTCGGCGACACTGACAACTCGCAACGAGAGAGAAAACGAGAGAAAAATAGTAAGAAAAAAAGAACAAAACAGCGAAACACGATCGAAATAGAATATCACTTTGAATTTTCGAACATCAAAGCTGCTACCTGTTTCTCCTGGACATTCGTAGAACTCAAGAAATTCTCTATACATAATTGCCGTGGAGCGTTCAAAGACGTTACGTCATTGTACGTCTAAGAAAGGAAGCAGGATGTCAGAAGCGCAATTAAACATTACCAAGCCACTCTTATCTCTTATTGTTATACGCGAACGTGAATAAAATAACCGATGAAAATTGTATTTTCGACATTCTTTTTCCAGAAAAATACTAAGCACCAGCCGCCTAATATTGGCCAGGAATAACGACTGACAAATCGTTTCGACAGCTTCGCGTCACGAGGTTAAGGAAAAAAACCGTGGTATCGGTGAAATGCTAGTCGAGTTGTGAAACGTTCATCACCGCGTCTAAGTTGTACCTTTATCTTCTCGACTAACTGGTCAGAAGTATTACGCTAATTAACAACAAACGTTAATAACATTGTTGCTAGTCAAGGCCGTGGAACTTTGGATAGAATCCAAGTGCCTAAACGCTTTGTGCATCTGTTCAAATACCATTAATCACGAACGATGGTATTATTAGTCAGAGGCTATAGTTAGCGCTGGTACGCTGATCGTTACAATCGTTGCTTCTAGATTGTTTACCTGTTTGTTGCACATCATGTCGTCAATTAACCGGAGTGAACCACCGATGGAACCGTAGTTAGTTACTTCTCTATCGCGAACACAGCCTCGTTTGAACAACGAAGGCAAAGTAAGAATTTACGCTGTCGTTCGATGTCGGAGAGCGTGTTCCTTATACCTACACGTTAATACGCAACTTCTCGAAGTCGTATTTGAAAAAGTTCCCTCGAGATTCGATATTTCGAAAAATCCACCGAGAGATCGGTCCAACAACCGTCTCATAGACATTCCTACCACTTGCAATCTAAGTCTGTAAAATGTGCGCAGCTTTAAAAATAGGATTATAGAAAAGAAGAATTGTGAAACATCCCTGTATGTTCATTCAGAATAACAGCGGAGATTCTCAAGGAGTCGTCGTTAATCGGAAAATATTCGAGGATGTATCCGATCATCCACTGCGCGCATAGGTAAATAGAACGGATCGAAACGAAACGATCTCTAGAGCTGTTAATAAACGATTTCGCTGTGAACTCGTAATTGCCGTTGCGTAACGGAGACTTCGAAGAAAGAAAAGTCGACGCAGTGTTTTCGGAATCGCGTCTATCAGAAGATGTCCTACCTTCTAAATCTCCGGTGCCGTCTCCATTCGAATCCATAAAGCTCCTAGGGTACACCTGGTAGAAAACGGCGTTCTTCCACCATCCCTTGTTCTTTATCTCGCCAGCGGCGAGACCCAGCAGCAGCACGAGTACAACGACGCTGAAGCTCTTCATGATTTGAATGATGCCGTGCGCGATCACGCGGCTCGCTTATATGCGAAACTCGACGGTAAAAAAGAACTCGGTCTCACGTGTCCTTATCATCGGAGCTCTTGAGAAATGTAGCGATCGATAACGGCGTATCGTTGTTCAATTGCAACGGGTGACTCGGTGAAATAATGTTGGACTGAACCGCCGTTTCGCTGCCGTCTAGATCGTTCCCGCTCGTAAGAAGAGACGAAGAAAACGCGATTATTCACGATTTTGCTTATTCTTTTCTTCTCGATTCGAATACCGTCGAGAACAGCTACTTGAAAGTTTGTACGCTTATGTATGGACGTTTCAAGGAAACAGGGTTTTTTTTTTTAAACGTTATTATACGCTATTCGCGAGGAAGAGAGGAAAACGTAGGTTCACGGTGACTGATATTTCTTCAATTCTATCGATAGGGAGAGAATAAAGAAGGAATTTTTAGATTCAACGCGAGTATTGTTGCGCTTGAAGTGCACATAGATCTTCGATTTTTTTCTTCTTCTTATTAGATTTGGATTAGATTTATTTATTATCTATTTAGATTTCCTACGAATGGTCAAGTATCTATTCTAGCGATAGATACAATATGTGCAATTTCTCGCGATAAATATGTACAAACAAAAGGAACAGGCCTGTGTAACTGAATTTCGTAGAATTTGTATTGTCGAGTATTTTCTATATAATAGTTTATGATAATTCTTGGCGGAAATTGCAGTTGACAAAATATGACACGTGAATGTAAGAAAAGTTTTATATAACTCGCGACGATAAAACCGCTATTAGGCAATTCTGACAATTACAAAAAGACACTTAGGACTCTTAAATGGCACTTACAACACTGCGGCTCTATCTGCAAGGAAAAACTTCGCTGTTTTCTCTCTTTCCTAATGTACACGCGCGCTATTTCGGAATTTTTCCGCTAAAAGTGGTCAATCATGTCAACATGGTGGTCCTCGTGCCTCGTCCTGGGTTTTTGCGATGGATCTGTCTCCGTCGATCCTCGTTTTCTCTTTTACAACCTTCGTCCTGCCCCGTCTCTTAAAGCTACGTACCAAGTGGCTACATTTTTACGATACTACAATTTCAAATTTTCTGAACAGAGCACCTTACGGTGTCGTACGTTTCTCGGCACAGAAAAATGGTCGACGTTCGTCAGTGATTGGAGGACTGATTTCATTTTCCTTGTATTATAAAAATACACATTTGTAGAGTGAAAAACAGAAATGAGATATTGAAATTTATTCGAAATATGGCGTCCACGTGTAATGGTGTAAAATGGTTTCGTTTTTGGGCATAGTGGGGATGATTCAGCACGAGTGATCAGAAACGAAAGTTTCGATTTTTCGACACTTTCTCGGATTTTTTCAGGAAAAGAAATTACGACAGTGGCAACAATCTGGAAAGGGAGTCGTGATTCTCGTTTAAACTACTGCACATTTTCTTTTTACGTGAAAACCCTAGAATCTCATTTAGAGTATGTGAGCGAAAGATGAAGTTGCTATACACTTAATACATTGTCGACATAATGTTAAGAGAACATAAATTTGATAGCAAGAACAATTACTAACACTAGAATTACCGACAGAGTCAAAATGGTCGATTAGCAACTTTCAGGAACAAACTGTCGATAACGATAAGTGTTATCGTTTCTAACTTACTGTACGCTTCTATTTGTACGGTAATGGTAGTTCTCCTTCTAAAAAGATGAAAAGGCAACAGAGGCCAAAGAGACTAAGCTTAAGGTTATTCTCAATTTGTAGGCAACTTGTGCAATTAAACATAAATACACGAACGTATAAATTTCACGTGCACGTGAAATCAATGGTTCGTTGAACGGTTTGCAGCGAAAATGTTGTAACAGCGTTACCTGTGGCGAGGACGTACAGGTAAATAAGTACACGGTACACTGAATTTTGATATTTCACGGGCGTTGAGACTGCGCTCACGTCCCTACGATGTTCATCACACTTAATGGGAGGCTGTGTTTCGAATACACGAAAACCGAGTAGCGTGCACCCGGAGCATGAAAATTATGTAAGCAGGTTAGAGGCGAAACGACACTGTTTCTTTTCACGGTGTTCGTGGAGTTTGTGTTAACGTTGCCTTACACACAGCAGAAACGAATAATGGAAACAGGAGATATAGGATAATGCACAGTGCGTATTTTACGACAGGAGATGTTAGAGATTCTGGTAAGAAATGAGTGTCGGTGAATTTTTAAACTTTCACGCTCAGTTTTGAGATAACAATCACCTCGTCCTATTTAGTTTACGATATCATTTTATAGCGCTGAGGTTGCTCTACATGCTGCTAGGTGTGCTTTTCTTTTTACTGTTAATTTTTGGTCACTTCGGAGTATCGACTCGAAGATAGACAGAAAGCAAATTTGCTTGTTTTCGTTATACGAGTGTAAACAAGGTCGTAAAGTTACGGGAACAAAAAGTTGCAACGATTAATTTCGACGTTGGCCAATTGCAAGGGCCCAATTCTTTCACGCGACAACGCTCGGCCACACTTTGATATTTTGAAGGTTAAAGGGCTATTTCGAGGGTTGAACGACACTTTTTCAAACACCTCGACCGCTATTTGTAAGAGAAGATCTTCACCAACCAAGCTGCTGCTGAAACTGCGTCCAACGAATTCACCGAATTTCACGCTACTGGAGTTAAAGAAACTTATTATACTTATTTTGATTAAAAAAGTTTATCCTAAGTCGAGGTCTGTGGATTTAAAGTGAAGTTTCAAAGCCTACGAAGTGTTGTTCGTTAAACAGACGCACGAGAGTTTCCTAAAAATCGGTGAAAACCGTGGGTTTCAAGCCGTCGGAAGCATTTTTCAGATTTGATCCAGGTAGGATGATCTTATTACGAGATTTCAGCGAGAAATATCGAAGCGGTACGATTTCGCCTCTGGCCGGTGAATTTTCGACAGGTAACGCGTGTCCCTAACGAATCGTGATATTCACGTGAAAGATAATAGAGCAGTCTGTTGGTAATTTTACGTTCGCAACTCGCTTTCGTGTCCGCACCTTAGATCCTTAGATTAGTGTTCTACCATGTTTACCTCATCGCCGACTGAATTCGTCTGTTACCCGGCCAATGTGACTATTTTTCTGCAGAATATCGCGATAATTCTGAAGTACGTTCTGAGGGAGGCGAACTGGTTCGAAGTTGGGAAAAGCTGAGAAGAAAGGAAAGCCCTATGGCAACGTGAGAATTGGTTTCGTGAAGTGCAGCGAAATTCGCATGCCAGAGTATCGACTTCTTTCACTTTATTTAAATTCCCAAATCGAATCGACCGACCCAGCCAGCTGACGTTGAATTTTTCGATATTCGTTTTTCAAGCACGTCGCATTGTTGCAAAGGAATAGAGCTTGTTACGTTGTCCGACATT